AATAATAAATTTAATTATAATTATTTTTATTGTAATATATATGCATTAGTAATGATATATATATATATATATATATATATTGTAGTTATGTGTATATGTGTTTTATTAATTATAAATAATTTTATTTTTAATATATATATATATATATTTGTATATATATGTGAATTTATATGCATATATTAATTTAAATACATGTAGATGAATATTTGGACATTTAATAATATTTTTGAATGATGAGTGAGCAGTTTTTTGCTGAGTCAACAGTTGCATTTGTTTGATTTGGAAAAAATGTAAAAGTCTGGGTATTTATGTGGGAATTTTGAAAATTTTAGGTATTTATATATTTTATAATTCGGGTATTTATTTGGGATTTTTGTAAAAGTTCGGGTATTTTTATGTGATTATCCCTTATATTTAATATAAAGTTTCGTAATTATTATCATTAATATTTATAATTTTTGAGTTTTGTTTGTGACTTTTTAACATTAAATTTAGCAATTAATATAATTAAAAAAAATTATTTAATATTTTTATAAAAATAAAAAATAAAAAATTATTTTGTACAGAGGCTCAGAATCCATCAGGACGGATATATATATATCCTACATACCATTTGTTTTCTTTATATATCCTTTAAAGTAAATATACACTTATATTTGATCCCAAATAATAATAAAAATACAGTACGCTTATGTCCTAGAGCAAAAATAACAAACAAATAGAGCATATATCAATATCCCTTTTATCTAATATTAATCCGTTGGACATTTCATCCATATAAAATATTTATTTTTTAGATAAGAAAAATGACAATATATCAAAAATATCTTTTCTAAGATATTTTTTTTACTCCTCTAAATTCATAATTTTCTAAGAAAAATTGTGCAAAACGAAATTTTCTAATAAAATATAAATTTGGTTTATATATAAAACTTAAAAATCATTAATACAATATATATTTTCATAAAAAAACATAAGAGGATAAAAATAATAAACAATAAATTATGTATTTCTTCTTCATAGTAAATTTCTTATATTGTATCATTTAGGTCTTATTTATATGGACATACACTAATTATACGATCACAATCCGTCATTTGACAAAAATATTATCGATTTCCAAAATTTATATATCTAGGGACGTGAAATCTACGCTCCCAAGGATCGTGTGAATGTTTTGTTTAGTATTATCTTGATATGATTTGGTTTGATACGGGTCTCTTGAATTAGAATTTCTCGACTATACAGATTCAATTTTTATTAAGATTTCTCGATTATCTTATTTATGTTAGATTCGATTTATATTTAAAAAAAAAATATCTACTTTTTTTAGAGATTTTTTTATTTAGATTGTTCTGTTATTGTTATATTTATTTAAATAAAATATTTTTCAACCGAATTTTAAATTAAATTATAGATAAAGTTATATTTGGTTTCAATGATAGTTTTTTACTATTTTTCATTGTCTAAATGATTCAATTGCCCTTGAAAATATTTGTTCTATTGTTTAAAAATAGACACTTTAGAGGTCCTACGCAACTATATAGAGAGACGAAAAACCCAAGCAACATTCATTCCCCAACAAGTACTTTTTCCCTAACACAAAATGGCAAGAACTGCTCTTTTGTTTTGCTTCGCCGTTCTAATAACTTCGACGACTCTTCTCGATGCCTTCTCGCCCTCCTTACCCGCAATGAAAGTTCCCGAAACCGTGAAAGATATCGAGCCTTATACCACCGAAGTCGTGAAGAAATTTTTGGCCGATCTCGAGAATAAATGTCCCAAAACACAAGAGTTTAAAGTGTTTTTCGAGAAACTCAAGACTTCCGCTAAGTACGTTTTCCCGATCACCAAGGCTCTTGGGACGGAAGACTCCAATGTGAAAGCTAGCGACATCTCTCAAGCGTTCTCGGCTTTCTCTAGGGGAGAATACGGGTCGGAAAAATCGGTATGTAAAAAGTATTTTGTTAAGAACTAAATCTATGGCATGAAAACCTAAGTTTGAATTCTTATCATATAAATATCGATGAAGACGATCATGAAACGAGAAGAATTGGAATCCATGAAAATTGTTAACTCTCTACAATCGAAGTTTGGTAAGGTTGTGAAGAAGGGCGATGGATCGACGAAGCTTACAAAAGAACAACAGATAGCAATCAAAGGCGCAATCTTGCAATGGGAAAAATCGGCTACTCGAGACGTGAAGATTCTAGTAAGGAGAAGCATATCTCCACGTAACCCTCGAGATGGGTAAAAAAGAAAACGAATTAATCTCTACCGCCGAAGAGGCATGGTAAAATGACACACTGATCATCAAATGTATGGTTTCATTTCGGTTGTAATTATATATATATCTCAAGTCAATTATACACCGATTTGAACTAGTTTTAGTAATGTATAACAACATTTACAATGTGTATTTCTTCTTTTCAATGAATTTTTTTGTGTCATGTGATACATATTTCAATCCTAATTATCATGATTCGAGATAACAACTTTGGTATTATTGTTCATTATCAATGTAAAGATTGACAAAAAAACACTAATGTTGTAAAAACAAATTGAATTCAGACAGAGATATAGAGATATGCTCAAGTTTATTTTATACCAAAGTCTTAGATCCATTTTGTTATTGCAGCCAAAAGCATAATAGTGAATGAATGGATATTCAAGTTCAAGAATCTCTAAGGATTCAAGATTTGCTTTGATTGCATTGCAATGGTTAATACATAATCTCCTTTCAAACTATTACAATGAGAATTTTACAATAATATTACATATTATTTTGATTTAATTTTTTCCTTTCAATATTTATATTAATTATATAGTATATCTTAATGTAATCATATATCTTAGATAAAAATTAAGCCTCTAATAATATTCTCTATTCAAATATTTGATACTTTGAATTAAACAGTGGTTATATATATATCCTACATGCATGCCATTTTTTTCTTTATAAATCCTTTAAAGTAAATGAAAATGTATGTTTAATAAAAAAATACTAAATATTAAATATAGTATAGTATGTGTATGTCTTAAGCGGAACAAAAATAACAAACAAATAGAGCATATATCAATATCCGTATTATCTTATATGAATCGGTTGATCATTTCATCCATATAAAATACTTCCTTTTTAGATAATAAAATGACAATATATCAAAAATATCTTTCCTAAGATATTTATTTTACTCCTCTAAATTCATAATTTTCTAAGAAAAATTGTGCAAAACGAAATTTTCTAATAAAATATAAATTTGATTTATATATAAAACTTAAAATCATTAATACAATATATATTTTCATAAAAAACATAAGAGGATAAAAATAATAAACAATAAATTGTGTATTTCTTCTTCATAGCAAATTTCTTGTATTGTATCATTTAGGTCTTAGTTATATATACATATTATACATACATTAATTATACGATTACAATCCGTCATTTGACAAAAATATTATCGATTTTCAAAGCTTATATATCATCCAAGGGATCTAGGGACGTGAAATCTACGCTCCCAAGGAGCGTGTGAATGTTTTGTTTAGTATTATCTTGGTGTGGTTTGGTTTGATACGGGTCTCTTGAATTAGAATTTCTCGACTATATAGATTCAATTTTTAGTAAGATTTCTCGATTATCTTATTTGTGTTAGATTCGATTTATATTAAAAAAAAATATATACTTTTTTAAGAGATGCTTTTATTTAGATTGTTCTATTATTATTACATTTTATTTAAATAAAATATTTTCGATCGACTTTTAAATTAAATTCTAGATAAAGTTATATCTGGTTTCGATGATAGTTTTTTACTATTTTTCTTTGTCTAAATCATTCAATTCCCCTAAAAATATTTGTTCTATTGTTTTAAAAATAGACATATTAGAGATCCTATATGACTATATAAAGAGACGAAAAACCCAAATAAAAATCATTCCCCAACAAGTCCTTTTTCCCTAACACAAAATGGCAAGAACTGCTCTTTTGTTTTGCTTAGCCATCCTAATAGCTTCGACGACTCTTCTTGATGCCTTCTCGCCCTCCTTACCCGCAACCAAAGTTCCCGAAACCGTGAAAGATATTGAGCCTTATACCACCAAAGTCGTGAAGAAATTTTTGGCCGATCTCGAGAAGAAATGTCCCAAAACACAAGAGTTTAAAGTGTTCTTCGAGAAACTCAAGACTTCCGCTAAGTACGTTTGCCCGATCACCAAGGCTCTTGGGACGGAAGACTCCAACATGAAAGCTAGCGGCATCTCTCAAGTATTCTCAGCTTTCTCTACGGGAGAAAACGGGTCCGAAAAATCGGTATGTAAGAAATATTTTGTTAAGAACTAAATCTATGGCATGAAAACCTAAGTTTGAATTCTTGTGCATATAAATACAGATGAAGATGACCATGAAACAAGAAGAATTGGAATCTATGAAAATCGTTAACTCCCTCCAATCGAAGTTTGGTAAGGTCGTGAAGAAGGGCGATGGATCGACGAAGCTTACAAAAGAACAACAGATAGCAATCAAAGACGCAATCTTGCAATGGGAAAAATCGGCTACTCGAGTCGTGAAGATTCTAGTAAGGAGAAGCATATCTCCACGTAACCCTCGAGATGGGTAAAAAAAACGAATTAATCTCTACCAACATTTACAATGACACATCAATCATCAAATGTATGGTTTCATTTCGGTTGTAATTATATCTCAAGTCGATTATACACCGATTTGAACCAGTTTTAGTAATGTGTAACAACATTTACAATGTATATTTCTTCTTTTCAATTAATTTTTTTGTGTATCATATGATATATATTCCAATCCTATTTATCATGATTCGAGATAAAAACTTTGGTATTATTGTTCATTATCAATGTAAAGATTGAAAAAAAATTATAGTTGTAAAAACAAAGTGAGGTAAGAGAAATGTTTAAGTCTATTCAATGCCAAAGCCTTAGATCCATTTTGTTATTGCACCCACAAGCATAATAGTGAATGAATGAAAATTCAAGTTCAAGAATCTCTCAAGGATTCAAGTTTTGCTTTGTATTGCCTTGCAATGTAACATACATAATCTGCTGTCAACGTATTACGATGAGAATTTTACAATAGTGTTACATATTATTTTGATTTAATTTTTTCCTTTCAATATTTATATTAATTATATATATATATATATATATATATATATATATCTCTTAATGTAATCATTATCTTAAATAAAAATTAAGCCTCTAATAATATTCTCTATTCAAATATTTGATATTTTGATTTACTGGAAATAGATGTTTAATAAAAAAAATATTAAATATTAAATATAGCATAGTATGTGTGTCTTATACGGAACAAACAAATAGAGTACATATCAATATCTATATATCTATTTTAAGCGGTTGATCATTTCATCCATATAAAAAAAATTCTTTTTATAAAATAAAATATAAATTTGATTTATATATTTTAGAATGGAGATGACTTTTATTTTGGGTTTTTAGTTTTAGTTTTTGGATTTTGGTTTTTAGTTTTTGGTTTTTGACTTTTGGATTTTATAATATTTGAAAACTCAAAAAAAGTAGCTTTTGGTTTTTCATTGATTTTTTCACTAAAATGACTTTCCAAGTTTTTAGGAAAAGTAATTTTGTAAAAACTTGAATGTTGTTTTTTTTTGTTTTTGGATTCTAAAAACTCCAAAAACTCCTACCATTCAAGGCCTAACTTAAAATTAGTCAATAAAATTTATATTTTCATTAATAAAATTAGAGGATAAAAATAATAAACATTAAAAAAATGCGGAGTGATTGAACAAGTCATGTGAATATATCCGGAGAACAGGAGAAACACTAGGCTCTTCGCAATTGTCTTAACCTTTTAATATCCACCAATTTCTCCTAATCACTTCTATATTTAGAAACTTAAACATCTATATAAACATGATTAAGAACCCAAATCAAACTCACTCATTCTCTCTTCATCCATCGTATAAAAAAAACCAAAAAAAAAAAGACAAAAACAATAAGACAAAAAAAAAACATTCTCGTACTAAAAAAAAATGGCGAGAATCACCTTGTCGTTATGCTTCGCCTTCCTGGTGGTATCAGGAGCCATTGTTGCAACATCAGGAACCTTCCTCCTTCTGCCGCATTACCTGAAGAAAATGCCGAAATTCTCGAGAGACGTGGAGCCATTCGCTTACAGAGGGATTACCAGATACATGCGCCGTCTCGAGAGGGGATGTCCTGCAACATCTGAGTTCAAGATGTTCTTCTCCAAGCTCCAGGAATATATGAACGCCGTCAACTCAGTCTCCTCCACGTCTGGTTCCATGGACATGAAGGCCTTTGAGTCCCACATGAAGGGGAAAGCCGAGGGGCTTTACAGCGCCATGTCTCGTTTGTCTGGCGGCAAAACTGGTTCTGTAAGAAATCTAGTTCGTTGGGTTTTTTCTCTCCCTTACATTTGCATCTTGTCGGAGAGATCATTCGGTTTACGAGTTTTTTTTTTTTGGTGGGTGAGTAGGCAGATGTGGCGAGAATAATAGAAGCGGTGCAGAGCTTGGTGAAGATATTGATAGAGCAGAAGAGGAGTGGTTCTTCTAGGCTTTCGATTGAGCAACGGCAAGCGATTCAGAGTTCGATTTTGAAATGGGCGCAAGGCATCGGTCAGTTCGTGAGCACGGCTGCGCAGAAGAACGGAGGAAAGTCCATTGATTTCTCTGCCACTTTTTCTCGTGGTTCTGGCAGTGATGATGATGACGATGATAAGGACGATGATGATGACGACGATAAGGACGATGATGATGACGATGACAAGCGTTCCCGCGTTGCTGGTGGAAGTTCAGGTGGTTCGAGTTCCGGAACCGGTGGAAGCTCTGCAACTGGAAGCTCCAACAGCGGCTCCTCCGCCTCTGGAAGTGGAAGTTCAGGCAGCAGTTCTGCCATTGAAAGTGGAAGTTCCGTAGGAGGTGTTTCCGGCGGAAGCTCCAATGGCGGCTCCTCTGCCACTGGAAGTGAAAGTTCAGGCAGCAGTTCCACCATTGGAAGTGGAAGTTCTGCAGGAGGCGCTTCAGGTGGAAGTTCCACAGGAGGAGCTTCCGGTGGAAGTTCCACAGGAGGAGCTTCCGGTGGAAGCTCTGACAGCGGCTCCTCCGCAAGTGGAAGTGGAAATTCAGACAGCTCTTCCACCACTGGAAGTGGAAGTTCAGACAGCTCTTCTGCCACTGGAAGTGCAGTAGGAGGTGCTTCCGGTGGAAGCTCTGACAGCGGCTCTTCCACCGTTGGAAGTGGAGGTTCCACAGGAGGTACTTCCGCTGGAAGTTCCGACAGCAGTTCCCCTGCCAATGGAAGTGGAAACTCTGACAGTTCCGCTAGCGGAAGTGAAAGTTCGTCAGGAGGTGCTCCAGATGGTCCTAGTTCTGTCACCGGCGGTTCAATTTCCGGCTCAAGCTCCCTCAGCGGTGGCACCACTAGTGGCTCTACCACCTCGGCAACTTCACCCACTAGCTCTATCGGTGCAAAATCCCCAACCGGTTCTGCCACTGGTGGAAGTTCCCTTAGTGGCGGCTCAGCATCCAGCTCAAGCTCTCTCAGCGGCAGCGGCAGTGGTGGCTCTACTTCATCATCCACAAGTTCACCAACCAGCTCTGCCATCGGTGGAAGTTCCCTAAGCGGTGGTTCAGCCTCCGGCTCAACCTCCCTCAGCGGCAGCACCACTAATGGCTCTCCCTCCTCTGCAAGTTCTCCCACCACCTCTGTTGGCGCAAATTCTCCAACCGGCTCTGCTACCGGTGGAAGTTCCTCTAGTGGCGGCTCGGCCTCTGGCTCAAGCTCCTTCAGCGGCAGCGGAACTAGTGGCTCTACATCATCTGCAAGTTCACCCACTAGCTCTGCTAGTGCAAATTCCCCAACTGGTTCTGCCACCGATGGAACAGCTCTTAGCGGCGGCTCGGCCTCTAGCTCAAGCTCCCTCAGTGGTGGCTCAGCCGGCTCAAGCTCCCTCAGCGGCGGTGCCACTAGTGGCTCTACCTCCTCTACAAGTTCACCCACCACCTCAGTTGGTGCAAATGCCCCAACCGGTTCCGCCACCGGTGGAAGTTCCCTCACTGGTTCTACCTCCGGCTCAACTTCTCTCAGTGGCAGCGCCACCAGCGGCTCTACCTCTTCTGCAAG